GGGGGGGGGGTTACCTTGGTTGGTGATTGGCTAATGGTTACACAAGCCAAAACATCATTATGACATCATAAAGTGGCCAAAATCTGATCAGCTCATTTTCAGACAGGTTTTTATAGAAATGGATCGGGACAAAAAGGGAGAAAATCTTTTTTCTGAAACTTTCAGAATCTCTTTACACAGAGGGGACACATGTTGATGTATAAAAGACATGAAAAAGTGGATTTTGCATACAGTAATAGGTGACCTTTAAGACCTGATTTCTAACTTTTAGAGCAGCAGATGTTCATGATTGATTTGTTTAAAAGTTTGTGAGATCGGTTTGCTGGATAGCTCAGTTGTTAGAGCTGATGGCCAATAAGAAGTGTCCGCTGCCATGTAAACTGGTTCGAAACCCTGGCCCACCGAACATGTCTCCCCTCTATCTCCTCTCATAACCCTGCATCTCCAATAAAGGCACTCTCTGGCCCAAAAACATCTTTAATAAAGAAAAAGGTGAGATCCATTTGGTGATGGAAAAAGGCAGATTGAACATAATGTTGCTTAAATGTCATAAATATAAAACACAATAAGGTTTTACTGTTTTTACATTCTAAAGCCATACAATTAAGTATGAATCATGGATTTCCATCCACCATCTCCTACAGCGGAGCCTTGATTTCTGTGTTTGGGCTCGTACAAGTGCCATTTGGATTCCTCTTCTCCCCAAAATCCCACCAGAAGCTGCACCAGCATCTCAAAGTTTATACTGTCTCTCTCAGTTAACAAGGGCGGAGGAGCCACGTGTAGAGAGTGACATAAGTATTAACAAAGAGACAAGGAGGTAGAACATGAGTGGAGAGGAGAGATTCCACTGTCATTGCTCTAATATCCTGCAGGCCTGTAGAGAGAAACTATACCATGTTTTTCACTGGAACATGTCAGCGGGAATACCATCGAAGAAGAGTTAGAGACAAGAGGGGAGAAAGTGTCGGCGAGACAAAAGCAACGAACAAAAAGAAAAGAGAGGATGAGAGGCTGGTGTTTCCAACTCCCCGATGGTTTGCAACGTTAGAAGTGTGACACATTAGCCCGAGGCTTCTTGGTGCTCTCCAGGAATGTGAGCTCTTACTGCAGGAATCAGCCTCCAGCGCTTCACCTCCTCTCCAAAGGACAGCAACAGAGCAGGGAGAGACGAGGACCACCCGTTTGTGTAAACCATATTAAGCGCTGCAGGGATTCTCACACGGCTTAAATCAACAGTCCTAAAGCAGCCTTTTGGCCAACTTGCCAGAGAGACAGAAGGAGGGACAGAGGGAGGAAGAGAGGGAACACTGTTGACGATAAGGTGGTGTTATTCCATGTTGTTCTAACTTTCAACAAATTCCATGACAAGAGACATGCTAACAATGTTTGTCACTCTTAAAAAGGCTTAGTGATTTCCAACACAGATGGCCAATTTTTGCAATATTCACTTAAACTGGAGTGAATGCTCAGGACTATTTTAAGCTGCGGATTTGGAGCGTTGGTGAAAATTCATGGCTGTGTGACTGAAACTACTCTGCAATAAAAATGTTAATTTCTCTGCCTCAGTTTTCCAAATATGTGAATTTATTTAATTATAATATTTAAATGACTGGCAACGTGGAGACATTGGATCATAATTTAGGCCTTTATGCTTGGAAACTTTGCAGAAAACAAAACGTGAGTGTTGATTGAAAAAAANGCCTACATGCCTTTGTTGTGTGTGTGTGTGTGTGTGTGTGTGTTCGTGCATGTGTGCGTGCATGTGTTGAATAGCACAATGCCCCATTGCAGCTGAAGAACAATGGGGCATTGTGCTATTCAACACATGCACGCACACATGCACGAACACACACACACACACACACACACACAACAAAGGCATGTAGGCAAACATCGGTACATATGACCAGACATGGACGCACACACTCGTACTGATTGTGCCTCTTTCTAACTACATCCTGTTGAATGATTTAGGCCTTGTGTGTGTGTGTGTGTGTGTGTGTGTGTGTGTGTGTGTGTGTGTGTGTGTGTGTGTGTGTGTGTGTGTGTGTGTGTGTGTGTGTGTGTGTAATGGAGCTGGTATGTCAGGATCTGAGAGGTCAGAGGTCAGGCCATGCTAAATGTGAGCAGGAGGTTGGCTGACTGCAGGGTAAACACAGACCAGACACACTCACCTTCTCTCTTTCTCGCATTTCTTTCCTCTCTTTATATACACACACACACACACACACACACACACACACACACACACACACACACACACACACACACACACACACACACACACAGCTTGAAAGCTACAGGTCAATCCCTATATTTAACCTTAATTCAACGTCAATCAAATAATTAAGATTATACTTAAACTTTAAGCAAAATGTACACTTTCAAAGCTGGCGTTGGATTCATTTGGTTTATTCAACATATAAATCTGGCTTAGATTTAACAATATTTTTGCCACCACATTTTGTTTATCCGCGTTTCCTCAGCCAGATGTATTGTCTTTATTCCAATAAGGCAACAAAGGCAGTGATGGATGTGGCTTGAGTAATCACTGCTGGCCTTTGCCCAGGAAAATAAGTCAACATCTGGTTTTACAACTCCTCACACACACGCACTTTGCTAACGGTGCCTTCCGTTGACGTGCCCTCTTCTACCGTCCAAAGCCCCTAACCAGTCATATATTAAGTTGAGCAACAAGCCAAGGATAGCTTTACACTGCTCTGTTGTTCCTTCCTCCTCCTTTCTCTCCTTCATGCCTCTGACCTCTAACCTCACCCCCACAATCCTTTATGTCCTACGGATAGCCATGAAAATCTCTCAAAGAAGAAGAACACAGCATGACATCTTTGCTCCCGTTGCATAAACATCTTATACATCTTTATAGAAGAAGTTATAATTACTGACAACCATTATATCTGTGATCAGCAATGATGTAAAACAATTTTCTTCAAAGGGCTTATATCTCACCTTCGACCTTTCTCTCTCCCCACCCCTTCTCTCTCACCGTGTAGGTACTGCGGACAGCCTGGCGGAGAAAGAGCGCCAACTCATGGGCATGATTGGCCAGTTGAGCAGCCTGAGGGAGCAGCTCCTGGCGGCCCACGAGGAGCAGAAGAAGCTGGCCACCTCGCAGATGGAGAAGCAGAGGCAGCAGATGGAGCTGGCCAAGCAGCAGCAGGACCAGGTACAGAGCTCGCTGCGTGAGAAGGGCTGGATACTGTACGCCTATGCTGCCAAATAAAACCCTTACTAGTTAAGATAATACAAAAAAACTAAAATGACTTATCTTCTACCCCACATGATTACACAAAAAGTCAGTAAACAGTGAACAAAAGCACAGGATTGGCTGCTGATTCGGAGTCACAAGTTTTACACACACACCATTATGTGCGGATACACTTATATTGATCACAAATGGTCATCAACAATCATCACACAGATCTTACGGTAGGCTGAAAGGTGTGGTGGAAAAGCAGCAAATCGCACAGGACTTTTCTTCCTCTATACTCACACTCACACACACGCACACGCACACACACACACACACACACACACACACACACACACACAATAGAAGGTCCCAAGAAGCTGACCGCTGAAAGTTGAGGTCAGAGATGCAAGGTCAAACCATGAGCAAGTTTTCCTCCGTGAAGAATAGAGCGTCCTTGATGTACCACTAGCATACAGTCTGACCTCAGGTCACTGTGATTGGTCCAAATGTGAACCAGAGCAGTCCACAGGCAGGTTGTATTCAATGTGACGATTATTAGGTGCAGTATTCCTCATCTCCTCTCCCCTCCCTCACCTCCTCCCCTCATCCCTGACCTTTTCTCTCCCTCTCGGAGTAATTACAGCGCGGCCTATCTGCACCTGGTCACTAATAAACCGCTCTCGTCCTCTTCTCTGTCTCCTTCTCCCTGCACTTCTGTCATCTCCTCCGCCCTGTTCGTCCATCCATCTCTTGATTTATCATTCCTGACAGTGGGGGGGAAGAAGAGGGGGGAGAAAGGTGGAGAGTAACTTGTGAAGAAAGAAAGATGACAACAAGAAGGACACAAGGAGGGAGAAAGGGGGAGCCAGCCTGAAAGCAACCCCGACAAAGCAGGAGAACAGACAGTTGAGAGGAGAAAAAAAAGGGCGGAGAAGAGAGCGGCAATCGACAGTGGCGGCTCTTAATTACGGCGCTGGGGCCAGCTTTATCAGAATCCCCTCACCTCGCTGCTCTTTGTCAGGGGGTATTAAGGAGTAGGACACACAATCAGGCTTTTCATTAAGGCCCTACCGGCAGCACACACAAAGGACGGCTTTAACAGCTGCACTAAGGGACTCAGGTGGTGGTGGGGGTGAGGCGAGGGGAAGCAGAGGGACAAAGGTGGGATGAGAGGGAGGAGAAAAACAAGAGGATGAGGGTAAAGAGAGGGGGGATGCAGAGACAGGAGGAAGAGGGTAAGTGGAGAAAGGGTGACAAGATGTAGAAAAGAGGGAGAAAGGATGGAAGTCGGATAGAGGCATGGAGAAGGCCTGGTGTGTACAAATAAACAAAAACTGACATACAAATGTGATCTTCTCTGATTTCCTTCAGGTGACCCCTACCCTCTCCAGCTCATCCCCACAACCATGGCTGCTGCTGCTGCTGCGGCTGCTGCCACACCAGGCCTGGGACCCCTTCAACTCCAGGTAAGACTGCAGGACATCATGTCCATGAGAACAACAATCAAAACTCTGGGAATGTCACACAAATATTCAATTTTCCTTTTCACTTGGGTGGTCCCATAACGAATAAATCCCCTGACAGTGTTGGGGTGCAGAGCTGTCACTGTCAGCCAAAGTGTGGACAGTGAAGTCATCTTAGAAAAACATGATCTCAATGATCAGGGCTCAAAAACCTCACAGAACTGACAAGTGTTAGCGTAGCCCTCGGCTCTGTCCGGCAGTATTCAGACTGACTGTCAGAGCTAATGTGTGGGTGAAGCTGAAGAGATCTCTTTCAGCAGCACAGAGGCAGCTTTGTGTGTGAAGTTAGCATCATGATCCAAATGATGGTCACATTTTGCACCTGGACGTTAGGCTTTAAATACCTCTCAGCTTTCAATTCACGATGTTGGATAACTTTTTTCCACTCTCATGTGTGCAGCTCCGCCTCTTATGTCATAATCATGTCTCATCCGCTTAATAAGCAAGAGAGCAGAAAGAGAGACAAAGCCTAAGAGGGGTAAAAAACAAAAACAGTCAACATCTGTTATGATGCTTTTAAGGAGGGTGAGCCTGACTTTGGTCCTCTTCCTGTCTGCACATTGTGGATAAGCGGCCTATTGCTCGTTAATCCCGACCCCACGATCACTGCTCGTACACTCACTCTCTCTCTCTCTCTCTCTCTCTCTCTGACACACACACGCGACCACACCTCACACACTTCCACTCATATCCACGTGGGCTTTGGGGCTCCACTCTCCCGGGGGTTAAGAGCCTGCGCGGGCGTCCCCCCGTGTGCCTGTCTGAAACACATTAACCTCCGGTGTGGGGCTCGGCCCCTGAACAGGCTGCACTTGGCCCTCATGTCTACTTGAAATGCATTATCATAAAATATGACATCTGAGCGAAGCAGCTGCCTTCACACACGTTTCTGTTGTACATCTTTTTCACTTACTGTACATACACAAGGGGAATGAGAGGTGAAATATGGGTTAAAGGTGAGGCAGAGTGTGTGTAATACATTTGCACCGGTCAGCCAAACGTGCTGCCCCATATGCTAGACACTGCAGGGAGAAAAGAATAAGTGTGTAATTCTATCATGGAGAACGGACCCCGCTGTCGTCACTGATTTCATTATAACCCGTGTGTTTGAGCACATTTCTGTGTTTAGCCCGAGAATAATGTCCTCTGTGCCGTTATCACTGCTTCAATCTAGCTGTCCATATGTTCCACTGTGTTCAGACACACTCAATCTCCAGTTGAACGGCTTTGTCCACCTTGCAATTGGATTTTGTTTTTCACCAGCAGGGAGGGGTGAGAGGACACAAGTGCAAAAAAACATCTCACTAGCAGATTTCTTTCTTACAATCCTCTCAGACACACACACACACACACACACACACACACACACACACACACACACACACACACACACACACACACACACACACACACACACACACACACACACACACACACATATTATACTGTATAGTGTTCGAGCAGCCAGAGACATGCGCCTTTGGCAGCTTCAACACAGGGACATTGCACAGGAATAAGCTGAGGCTACGTAGCGTTGGAGCGGATGCAGTGCAGACACACACTTACACACACACTCCAAGCTCCCAGGCTTGTCTGCCAGGTATTTGCATAGAGAAGGGTTTCCCTCTTTGTAGTACTTCATGGCTTCTGGAAAGCTCGGGTTTACAAAGAGAATACGCACATAGACACAGAAACACAGCTGTAAGGACAAATCACCTGTGACAAACACAATGCCTTACAGTGCCCTTGGCTAACTTCCCTACAAGTGTGTAACGGTTCTAGCTGGACATGAAGGTACAGTATGTGGATACTCTATTCCTGCCATTCCATTCCCCTCTACAAGCCACTGGAGAGTTACAGTGCAAAATATATATTTATTTTATTCCAGTAACTGAAATGTCATCACAAGCAACGGAAATAAATGTGTGAAAGTAAGAAGATTTCTCCAAATTGATCAGAATTTTAAAAAAATTGACATCAGCAATGCTCATGTCAGTGAGTGTGTCGGTGTGACAGTGTTGTCCACTTGGCTGTGAGCTCGACACGAGAGAAGCTCTTTAATATTTAATGCCAGGGCATCGACCCTCTGTCGTGCAACTGGGGCCTCAGAGACCTGCAGATGTGTCGCATCTCCCAGAGGCCCCGCACACACACTCACAACACGTGCACACACTCCCACACTAACACACTGCATATATACATTCAAATAATCTGTTGTGTTCTCCCTCCTCAGATTGCCCGGCAACAGCAGCAGCTTCTGCAGCAGCAACACAAAATCAACCTCCTGCAGCAACAAATCCAGGTGAGGCCTGGTTTCTGTGTGTATGTGTATTTGTGTGTGTGTGTCCAATCCATGTGTGTATCAGCCAAATGTATTTTTTCAAGTGTTTGTGTGGATGCGCCCACAAAGGCAACTCTGTGATTGTGATTGTTGCAGATTCTTTGCTCAGCCATCAGCATTTGGGGCCTGAATCAGTGTTGACTGATACTAGCCCCTCCTCCACTAACACACACACACACACACACACACACACACACACACACACACACACACACACACACACACACACACACACACACACACACACACACACACACACACACACACAGATTAAGGCCTGTCAGAAAGAAACAGATTTGCCCAGGCTAACACAAGTACAGATGTCTCAATGTGGATGGATTTCCTTTGGGATCGTCTTTGCGCCCTCATTTGATGAGGTGTTTCTGCCGCCGAGACAAGACATGACAGTTAGTTTGGGCCTCAGGTCGCCACGGCAACACAGCGGTTTGGCAGGGAGGACACAAATGAACCCACTTAACCGAGACAAACACACACACACACACTCACAAACAAATAGAGATTGAAAATAAAAGATGTTCAGATAGAGAAGACAATGAAAATCCCAGCTGCATTCAGGAGCACATGGAAACATGCCGACAGACATGTTAGTTCAACATGGGAACACTTCAACTGAACACATACACACATAGTCAGTGTATACAGTTATTAATTGTACACACCCAACCAATGCTGGCCAAGATCTCTCATCCGTGCTATGTCATGATTTTCCTACATTTCTGCATTAAAATGTTGACTTTAACAAATACACCAAAAATTGCTTGAATTCAAAATACACACTTTTTAAAAAGGTGTTATAAGTCTAAGATACAGTAAGTAATATTTTTAGTCCACAAAAATAATAATGTAATCCTTAAATGAGGTACAAATATGTATTTATTGGAGTTTTAGTGATAAGCATCTCACATCTTAGAGTGGATGTCTCATCTCAAGCAATGAAAGGAAATAATTTAATCCGACCAAGGTCATGACCTTTGGTGCCTCAGCACTTTCAAAAGGCTTTTATAGACTCACTTGGGATGGTGCTACAATGGGTCTAATGATGGCAGTGACATCCCCGGCAACTACAACAAACACCATATTTGTAGTTTAAAGTTAAGATATTTCTAAAGTGAACATGGTGAACATTCAACTCAAGGTCAGAACAACTCTGAGAAATATGAGTATAACAATCTGTGGGGTGATTTTATGGAATGGTTTGGAGCAGGAGTAGCACAAGCATAATTCAGTTTAAAAGGATGTACAGAAACACTTTTTCGGAAAACTATGAGAATGAAGAGAGGTGATTGAAGATGAGAAATTATTGTAAATGTAAGTAGGAATAACTTGCATAATGATTTAAAGGACAATCATTGATCAAGTAAGGGGTGGGAATTAATAAGCATTTGCTTCCTCCTGCTCCCTTTCGGACACACCTGATTTATTATTATTATTAATATTAAGATGAAGACTTTTTTTGTTGAATATATAAATATTATCATGAATGTGGATAAATACTGTATTTTAACAATACGGTATTCTGTTTTNATAAGCATTTGCTTCCTCCTGCTCCCTTTCGGACACACATGATTTATTATTATTATTAATATGAAGACTTTTTTTGTTGAATATATAAATATTATCATGAATGTGGATAAATACTGTATTTTAACAATACGAAATTCTGTTTTTCACATTTTTTATTTGTTATTTTTTTAATCTGTTCTAAATAAAGATTGAAATGAAACATTGTCGAGATCTAAAAAAAACTGATGTGGATAAAGTTAGAACATTTCAATTATAAGCTGATAAAACAGCTGTATGTTAAAAACACAGTCACACATGTTCAGGTAAACGTTTCAACTATAAAGGGTTTTTGTTATAATGCCAAACAATCTTTCAGAATCCCCTTCTCTCTCTGTGATTTGAAGAGGGCGCAGCGACGACACAATGGCTCTTACACTGAACACACTGTGTAGAAACGGTATACATAGAAAGATTTAGATAAAAACTCAACAGCACAGATTTGAGTTAAGTGCAGTTCTTAGAAACATGTATTAATCTCTCAATGATGTAAAGCTCTTTACATATGTAAAATATCTTTCATAGAAATCAACAGAGTAGCTCTTACAGTCACAGAATCCTTTACAGATGCTTTTCAAGGCTTTCGAGTGTACAAGGTTGGCATTTAGCGTGTTAATCTGGGGGATGAGTGTGACATTGTGCATTAGAGCATGTTAATCTGGCTCCCTGTTGACCCTTGATATCATTGATATCATCCACAAATGGACTACGACGGACAGACAGAATAAAAAGAAAATGCACTCATCCGGGCAAGAGAGGGAGAGACGGGCAATAAAGGGGAAAAGGTACCAGAGAGGTATTTAGAAGGATGATCAGCTAAAGGGATAAACACAGAGAAATGGTGGGGAAAGAGGTAAGTGGAGGAGAAAAAGTGTGGATGTAAGTGAGAGATTAAATGTGTGTGTTTGTGTGTGTGGCATAAAGAGGGTCAATGGCACGGGTCAGGCATCATATGGAGAGGCAGATGTTGGAACATATTGTCCTGGATTACCACACTTTACACCGGAGAGATGGGCGGGCGAACAACGGACAGGCGGTCACGGGGAGGGAGGGAGAGAAGGAGGGGG